TTGCTTGGGATGAAATCTGCCTGCCAAAGAGGAATGGTGGTCTGGGGATAAAAAATCTTGAATTATGGAATAAGGCAACAATTATGAGACTTAGTTGGGATATTGCCCAAATGAAGGAGAGCCTATGGGTCAAATGGGTTCATGGGAAATATCTAAAGACCAATAACATATGGGAATGCCAAATCAAAAATGACTCATGTTTCTACTGGAAGAAAATGCTAAAGATCAGAAGGTGCTTTGAAGGAATGGAGATGAACAGCCCATACTCTTCAAAAGATGGCTACAAGTGGTTAATTGGGAAAAGACAAGAACCTAACTGGTCTAACATGGTCTGGAACAAGCTATCAATACCCAAGCACAAAATCATATTATGGCTCCTATGCAGGGATAGACTCCAAACCAAGAAAAGACTTAGCAAGTTCATCCCCATGGACACTGCTTGTAGTCTCTGCAGTAATGGAGAGGAAGATAGTGAGCATCTGTTTTGCAGCTGTCAATATACCACCAACATCTATGCTAAGTTATTTGACTGGTGCAACTACAAATTTGAAGGTATTTCAATTGGGGCTATGAATGAGAAAATGATGAAGCTTAGACCCAATAAGCACAGATGGAAGATAAACGTCATCTTCGCAGCATGTGTATATGCTGTTTGGAGAGCGAGGAACTGGAAAATCTACAAATAGATTAGCATTCATGAAGAAGATACCACCAACTGGATTATCTCCCATGTTAGTACTTTTTTTAATGCAAAGGGTGTAATATGAGGTTGGAAATCCATGTAGTACTGTTCAGGTAGTATAGATGTTTACCTAATGGCTCAACTGGCATGTGTTGTATACTTGTTATGAGGTGATTTAATATATTTTTGCTTTCGGTTCAAAAATAAAATTTGTTAACACACCAACACTTTATATCCGTGTAAATTTTTGTTAACGCACCAACAGTTTTGTCGGTGTAAACTTTCAAAATGTTTGTGTATAACTACAGTGTACAAATGAGATACAATTTTTTGGTGTAAGTGTAGCATGGCCCTTGCAAAAATTAAGAAAAAGAGGTAAAGAGGTTTCTAAAAAATATGTAGCTGATTTATTACATTTTCGTAGTGAGACAAAGTACCGTGAAAGTTCTTGTATTGTGTAAAAATGTTCAAATTAGTCTTGGTACTACTTAAAACAATTTAGTCTACGTACCATTCTTTTTTGTTCAATTAAATTTTCTTCTTACTTTTTCTCTTATATATATTATCCCAAATGCTTATGATGTCTAATTTTACTATATATGGTAAAGTAATGTCGTCTTGGCATGCTAATTTATATTTTTTAAACGTAATTTTAGTCATTAAAAAATAGATAATTGTATCCCTATATTTTTTTCATTAAAGAAAATAGATATACAGATGCATATTGCACTTGGTAAAAAAAGGGTTTTTGAACTTAATATGCATTAACATGCAAAGAATTTATTTTTATGTTATGTGCCCCTCCATTCTAATTTAAATTGCTTGTTTACTAATCACGAAATTAAATTTTAATAACATTCTTTACCATTTTTCTCTATCAAAAAAATAATAGTCTTGTCACTTCCTCTTTTGCAGAGCTTTTGATGTACTTCGTAGTTTTTAAATATATAAATTGTAGTTATATTTTTTAAATTCCATACCAATTTTCAAATACATAACTTTTTTCAAATAATAAAAAGTGATTTAAATTGGGACGGAAGGAGTAATAAAACTGGATATCATTACACAGAGCTTGAGACAACATTTTTATAATGATTTAACGAAAGAACTTGATTGAACAAAAAACAATGATATATAGACTATGTTACTTCAATTAGAAGTACAAAGACCAATTTAAATATTTTTGAAAAGTGCTAGGGATACACTAAAGGTGTACCCCAAATGTACATCACCCCCTCCAATGCCACATATATTGGCAAATAAAATAAACAAAAAATAGATAAATAAAAATGAGTGGTAGAGACATTGGTTGGTGTACATTTCGGGTACACCTTTGGTGTACCCCTAGCATCCCCCAATATTTTTATATGGTACCTAAACTCTTGGATAATGCTACTTACACTCCAAACTTAACCCAATTTGTACCCCAATATAAAAGACCTCCCCCCACCCTACACGTGCAAGTAACCCCCCACCTAATTCACTCTGCTTCTCAACCTTCGTCTGTCTCCTCTGTTACTTTTTTTTTCCGGTCTGAATTTCCTCCTCGCCGTCTTCACAACCGTCGTCGTCTCTCCCTCGTCTCTGCCACTGGTGGTCCGTGTCCTCTCGCCTTCCGATTGTCATTCACAACACTCCTTTCTGCCGTCATCACAGGCCCACTGTTTGCCCTCTTCACAGGCATCCTCTTTGCCGCCGGTGATTCTCCATTAAGGTAATTGCTCCTCCTTTTCCAATTGCACCTCTTTTCGCAACAATTCATTAGATTAGTGAATCTTAAATTCCCAAATGCATGTTCATGAAACCCTAAATGCAAAGCTACGGTAATTTTCCCTTAAGTTTGGTGCGATTTTCACAAATGCATGGGCATGCAATGGTATTTTTACTCTGCACACTAACACATAGTGCCCATGTTAATATATTCAATGACCTTTGATTTCTGCGCACTCATTTTTATCTTTGTTTATACATTCATCTCGTTCAACGACTACCCAAAATGGCAGTGATGGCCTAAATTATTTCAAAAATTCCTTAAAGTATAATCATTTAAGTAAATGTCTGGGCAATAGTGTACAACAGCTTCACACCTACATTTTCTGCCCAATTGACTATGTTATGCTTACGTTATTATTTGGTCACTCACAAACATTTCTGTTTGTACAACTTTCACATAATAAGTCTAATTATGAGATTTAATATTTTGGTATTACATTGTCTTGTATTTGAATTGGAATGTAGGTTTGTGTGCAATGGCATTGTAAATTGTTAGTGTAGACCACTTCCAAGCACAATACACATGTTATTGCGAGCTTCGAAAATCGGTGGACATCATCAAACATAAACTCACACCTTCAGACTTGAACCGCTTCAAGACGGAGTCTCCTTTTGGCCACCTTCTTGACTCCCCGCCATTGCAGTTCTCCGGCCAACACATAGATCTATTGCTCCTGCACCTCACAAGAGAACAGGTAGAGGATGAACTACGATTCAACACAAATGGTTCGATATTGAAATTTGATTTTGGCGAATGGTGCCGCATAAGTGGAATGGCCTCTACCAAGGTTTATGGAGACGAAGGTGGTGATGAGGGTGACGATTTGGCCTCAGGGAGAATTAGAAAGAAATTTTTAGGAAATGATAAGGGGAAAACAACATTTACGCATGTGCGCAAATGTTTTCATGCTCTTCGTGATGAAAATGGGGGCAATGACATCCTCCAGTTTGCTAAGCTCTTTTTGTGGAGTCTGTGTTGTTAGCTAAAGACAAGGGGACTAGTGTTGACGTGTCTCACCTTCACCTCCTAGATAGCGTTGACAAGTTCAACGCTTGTCCATGGGAGTGGGAGTCTTACCTTCTCACAGTAGGCCACCTGAAGGCATCTATGGAGGGGTAACCAGCCCGTTTTTTGTCAAAGCGAACTGACAACCCGAACATGAAGACATCCAAATTCTATTTTTATGGTTTCCTTTTGTGTTGCAAGTGAGTATGTCTGAAGTATTAAGCTATTACACTATTTTATGTACTTCATTTACTTTAATAATACTTATAACTATTTTCCTAATACTTTAAGGTGTGGGCTTATGAACAATTCCCACGACTTAAAGGAGTTGTTTCCGACGTTGATGACAAAAAAGTTGGATGTCCATTTCTCAAATGGGGGTCAAAAAACTGCCCTCCATACAACCAACAAAAAGAGCTAATTCTAAGCAAGCAAGAGGGAGACACATCTAAAGAAACTAGTGCCACACCATTGCATATATCTTCCTTAATGTAAATACCTGGTGGCAGCGACTTAGATTTATTTATTGTACTATTCTTTTTTCTAGGAATACGCAATACATTGTCTTGTTTCAGAGGTGGCGCATATGAGAGAGGTTGTGGATGAAAAATTTGGAGACCTTGAAGTAAAGATAGAAATACTTTCTAGGAAAGTAGATGTCTTGTTGGAGAACAAAGAGAAGAGGACACACTAACATACACATGCGACCGAGGATGAGGAGGTGGTGGGAGACGCAGGGGAGGAAGACGATGAAGAGGAGGTGGTGGGGGACTCGGAGGATGAGAATGAGGGGGAGGATGAAGACATTGGACATGCAGAGTCTAAGAAAGAGGTGGAGGATCAAGAGACCATTAGACAAAGAAAGTGTCGGAAACGGTCGAGGGTCGTGCATGGTGGAGAAGCATAATAGGTGAGGAAACTGAACTTCCGATGTCATCTCCACTCGGCAGGACCCCAATGGAGGTATTAGTAAATGAAACTCGTTATTACCATATTTATGTGTGATTATTGAACCATGTATATGTGTCTGTGTTGTTGAAATAAACACTTTTGGCATGATTATTCCTTAGAATTCACAAACAAATTTGGAAGAAGCCACAACGGAGGTGCAGGTGGTAATTCTTGGGGGAATGCTATACCTAAACTCATAACTCTAAACCTTTTTCATCATATAAGCAATGTATATTTAATAATCATTTTTATGTAGCTCTATGAGGACAAGCTTATTGATACCCAAGAGTATGCAAGACAAGTCTTATCCCCTGGTCCATTAGAGTATTTTATGAGTAACTACGCCACATCCAATATTGTGGTGTTACAACATTTTATTTTTGTTTCTTAATTAGCTTATGTTTTTTGTCTACTTTTTGTATGTAATGGTGACCCACATCTAGGCTGAAGACGTTGAACCTCCAATGGAAACCATTGTGGTTACGCAGGTTAATTTTTTTGTTATCTTTCGCAGTCAATTATTCAATACGTTTTTGTCAACGTTGATTTTGGTTACGCAGGTTAAATTTTTCGTTATCTTACGTTGACAAAAACGTCTTGAATAATTGACTATGAAAGATAACGAAAAAATTAACCTACGTAAACACAATGGTTTCTGTTGGAGGTTCAACAACGTCTTTAGCCTATATGTGGGTCACCATTACATACACAAAGTATACAAAAAACATATGCTAATTAGAAAACAAAAATAAAATATTGTAACACCAAAATATTGGATGTGGCATACTTACTCATAAACATACTCTACTGGACCAGGGGATAAGACTTGTCTTGCATACTCTTGGGTATCAATAAGCTTGTCCTCATAGAGCTACATAAAAAATGATTATTAAATATACATCGCTTATATGGTGAAAAAGGTTTAGACTTATGATTATAGTTATAGCATACCCCAAGAATTACCACCTGCACCTCGGTTGTGGCTTCTTCCAAATTTGTTTGTGAATTCTAAAGAATAATTATACCAAAAGTGTTCATTTCAACAACACAGACACATATACATGGTTCAAGAATCACACATAAATATGGTGAGAACGAGTTTCTTTTACTAATTCTTCCATTGGGATGCCGCCGGATGGTGATGACATCGGAAGTTCAGTTTCCTCACTTATAATGCTTCTCCACCATCTACGACCCTCGACCGTTTCCGACACTTTCTTTGTCTAATGGTCTCTTGATCCTTTTCCACTTCCTCCACCTCTTTCTTAGACTTTGCATGTCCAATGTCTTCATCCTCCCCCTCATTCTCATCCTCCAAGTCCCCCACCACCTCCTCCTCTTCATCGTCTTCCTCCCCTGCTCATCCTCTGCGTCTCCCGCCACCTCCTCATCCTCCGCCTCCACGGTCGCATGTGTATGTTAGTGTGTCCTCTTCTTTTTATTCTCCAACAAGATATCTACTTTCTTAGAAAGTATTTCTATCTTTACTTCAAGGTCTCCAAATTTTTCATCCACAACATCTCTCATATCGCCACCTTTGAAACAAGACGATGTATTGCGTACTTACTTGCAACACAAAAGGAAAACCATAAAAATAGAATTTGGATGTCTTCATGTTCGGGTTGTGAGCTAGTTTTGACAAAAAAAACAGGCCGGTTGCCCCTCCATAGATGCCTTCAGGTGGCGTACTGTGAGAAAGTAAGACTCCCACCCCCATGGACAAGCATTGAACTTGTCAACGCTATCTAGGAGGTGAAGGTGAGACCCGTCAACACCAGTCCCCTTGTCTTTAGCTAACAACACAGACTCCACAAAAAAGAGCTTAGCAAACTGAAGGATGTCATTGCCCCTATTTTCATCACGAAGAGCATGAAAACATTTGCGCACATGCGCAAATGTTGTTTTCCCCTTATCATTTCCTAAAAATTTCTTTCTAATTCTCCCTGAGGCCAAATCGTCACCCTCATCACCACCTTCGTCCCCATAAACCTTGGTAAAGGCCATTCCACTTATGCGGCACCATTCGCCAAAATCAAATTTCAATGTCGAACCATTTGTGTTGAATCGTAGTTCATCCTCTACTTATTCTCTTGTGAGGTGCAGGAGCAACAGATCTATGAGTTGGCTGGAGAACTGCAATGGCGGGGAGTCAAGAAGGTGGCCAAAAGGAGACTCCGTCTTGAAGCGGTTCAAGTCTGAAGGTGTGAGTTTATGTTTGATGATGTCAATCAATTTTCGAAGCTCGCAATAACATGTGTATTGTGCTTGGAAGTGGTCTGCACTAACAATTTGCAATGCCATTACACACAAACCTACATTCCAATTCAAATACAAAACAATGTAATACCAAAATATTAAATCTCATAATTAGATTTATTATGTGAAGGTTGTACAAACAGAAATGTTTGTGAGTGGGCAAATAATAATGTAAGCATAACATAGTCAATTGTGAGTAACCAAAGGTCCTGATCTCATCGATGACCTTGGCGGATACTTCGTGCTTGTAAAGGCCCTAGAAGAACCGGATGCCGGTCTCCCAACCAGGAATCGCCCGGGCGACAAATTGCTCCGGCTCTTGGGCTGTCCAGGCAGCAGCAAATGAGGCCTGGTCGGCATGCTCCTTTTCCAGTTCAGCCTTTAGCTGGGCAATCTCCTTGGCGGATTGGACAACCTTCTCCTTCAGTTCGGCCTTCTCCCCTTCGAGCTCTTGGATCTTCTCTTGGGCCTGGGCATCGGCCTCTTTTGATGCCTTCAGCAGCCCGCCGTGCTTGGCGTAAAGAGATCGGAAGGCCGCATACTGCTCTATGAGCTTTTCTTCAGCCATCTCGGCTTTCTGATGGGCGGCTTTGGCCTCCTTCCGACAGGCCACCATCATGCCCTCCAGCCGGGCCTTCTCCTTAGATTTGGATTTTACAAACCGGGTGAACCACTTCGGGTCGATCCGGCCGACCTGCTTCAAAGGGATAAAAGAATTTCAAAAGATTGATTGCAAAATTAACTTAGAAAAGATATGAGAGATGGGGGGATTACCTCATTCAAGTCGGCGCAGAAAGCTTGGAAAAGCTCCTCGTCTGACCGAGCCATCAGGGCCAGAGATCAGGGCTCGCCCTGCCCTTTGCCGACATCGGAGGACTGGACAAACTGATCTACAGCCATGTCCTCCGTCTCTTCCTTAGGAGGGCCTCCTCGGCGGCCTCTTCTTCGCCGCCTCCCTCCACATGTTGGCCGCTTTGACCGCCCTTTGATGTGTGGCCAGTTTCCATTAACATGTTGTCAAACTCCAGGGTATCTACATTGATGTAGATCTCCCCGGAGTGGATCGGTTGGCTAGTGCCCTGCTGGGACTGAGGCGGCTGTTCATCCAGCAGAGGTGGTTGACCAGAGGGCTAGCTGTAAGGCTGGGCGGTGGAGGGCTCCTCCACATCAACGATTTGAGGGATGGAGAACTTGGAGTTAAACTTCACCACTACAACAACAAGTAGCAAAACCGGTTAGTAAAAGAGAGTTGCCAAAAAGAGTAAAAGCAAATTTAGAGAGGAAAACTAGGGAGGGACCTTTCTCCTCCTTCTTCCCCCGGCGCGAGGAACCGGTGGCAATTGACACCGAGGCTTTTGACCCTTGCACACGGCGGAGGAGGATGGCGTCTGGGATCACCTCTTCCCGAATGATCTTGGGCTCCGAGTCAGTTTCTAAACCCAGATAGACCCCCCCCCCCCC